GGAAGGGCACAACCTTGCATTGAAACTACCATCAAAGAGTTTCCCTCTTTCAGGGGAAAGACAAGGACAGGTTGACCCAAGCCTCTCCCCAGAGGCTGATCTTGACTTCTCTGCTGCTGTGGGCCACTAAAGATGTCTCCCAAGGCCAGGTCTGAAGATAAACAGTGGCCCGGTGCTCTTGTGCCATGGCTGAGGTTTCTAGCTCTTTCTACACACTGACAGGCGGAGGGAATGAAGTGTTTCTCTCTGAAACTCCAGTGGGCCCAGCAATTGCCAAGGCTGAAGCATGGTGTGTGCTGTGTGTGCACTTCTGCCTGCTGCATCTGCATATTTTATTCCTGCTTTAAAGTTGAATAATGGATTCAGGTTCTGAGCAATAGAAACTCTACATAAATTATTAGCCAGGCCGGGCTCTGCTTTGTGCTCAGGTGAACCTTGCCCCACTTTTATCTGCGGCTGCTGCTGCTCTGGAGAGAATGAGCCCAAGGCAGAGCCTCTGCAAACTGAGACCCAGGACTAGGCAGGGAGAGGGGGAGATTGGTTCCCACTGCAGGATCTTTTTTCCCAGTAGCCAAGAAATGCATTGTCAGTGGAATGGTAAACAGCACAGGGGGCTAGCGTAGACTAACTAAACCTGAACTTGAGTCTAAGGACTGTCGTGGGATGGGAAGGATGACCCAGTGGTGCCACATGACAGCAAACTGAGAGATGTCATCATGACGGTCACGCACTTAGTTTCGAACCAACCAAATGCAAGTATTAAGGACCTACCTTGTGTTACATACCATGTTGAGGACTGCAGAGATCAGGTCAAAAGTGTCTCTACCTGAAAAAGCACGTTAAATTAACAATATGTTATTAAAACAAAGAAGAAAGCTAAGTAAGTTTTCAGGCCCAAAATTAACATGAAAGAGCCCATGGTAGAAATAATGTTAAATCCAGGATTTGCTTCAAAATAAGTGGGGAGGTAGAAAGGATTATGTGGAGCAGGGAGAAAGGAAGAGTGGGCATGAGTCAGCTTGGTTTGGGGAACACAAGGATTCCTCATTCCCCTCCTACAAGTTGCATATGCTTTTGAAACTTTCCACTATAAGAAGTTTTATTTTCGAAAAACTATCCCATTCACAATAACAAGAATTATAAAACACATTAAATTACATCTACCAAGTAATGCACTATACATATATAAAGAAATCTTCTGTAACACCTAATCAAAAGCTAAAAACCTAAAGAGAGAAACAGGATATTTCGGGATAGGAGTTTTTTTAATCAGAAAGACATTGATTTTACCCTAATCTATAAATTCAATGTAATCCCAATGAAAACTCCTTCCAAAATGTATTGTATTGGACTTGGTGGTTCTATGAAAAAGTAAATAAATACATAAATAAAAATTTAAAAATAAATAAATTTAAAATAATAAAAATAAGTTAAAAATAATGTATTATAAGTGATTAGTTCATTCTCAAGTTCAAACAGAAAAGAAAATATGCAAAAATGGCAATGAAATTTTAAAAACAAAAATAATGAGAAGGAAATTACCTTATCAAGTATCAAAACACAGTATAAAATAATAATTAAAATACTGTAAAATTGGAACAAGAAAGGACATGGATTAGTAGAACTAAACAGAGATCAGAGGTAGATAGATGTATACATGAAAATCTGGATTATATATACTATAGAGAGAGAGCTAGCATTTCAAACCTTGCCCTTTCTGATTTGGGACAAGTTCAGTTTTCAATGTGGAAAAAGTATACTTACATATATGTATTTATATGTCAATATACTTATTTACCAATGTATCTGTGTTTGTATATCCTACTTCCATGTTTATATCATTAGGCAAAATTACATGTTTATCTTAATATGCTTATATTTTCATACATTTTTATTTGAAAAATATGTAATTAATATTCATTTATATATTCCGTATAGATAAATCCTACCAGACTAAATAAAGGTGAAAAAAACAACATTTTCACCTGCATGGAGCTCACAGTACATATATATAAATGTAGACATATATACATGCATGCATATGTGTATATATGTGCTTACATATGTATGTAAATACACATTTTGTATAGATGTGTGCCATGATTCAAATGTATGTGTCCCTACAAAATTCATATGTTGGATCTTAAAGCCCAGGATGATGGTATTAAGAAGTGGGAGCACTGGAAGATGATTAGTGTATTAGTCCAATCTCGTGCTGCTATACAGACATACCCAAGACTAGGTAATTTATAAAGGAAAGAGGTTTATGGACTCACAGTTCCACATGGCTGGGGAGGCCTTGCAGTCATGGCAGAAGGTGAAGGAGGAGCAAAAGCATGTCTTACATGGCAGCAGGCAAGAGAGCTTGTGCAGGGAACTGCCCTTTATAAAATCATCAAATCTCATGAGACTTATTCACTATCGCAAGAACAGCACTGGAAAGACCTGTCCCCATGATTCAATGACCTCACACTGAGTTTCTCCCACAACACATGAGGATTATGGGAGCTACAATTCAAGATGAGATTTGGGTGGGGACACAGCCAAACCATACCAATTAGACTCCACCTTCATGGATGAGATCAGGGCCTTCTAAAAGGGCTCAAGGAGTGAGTTCATCTCTTCATCCTTTTTGCCTTTCCACTTTCCATCATGTGAGGACGCAGCAATGAGACTCCATCTTTGAAGTAGAGAGCAGTCCTCACCAGACATGGAATCTGCCGGTGCCCTGATCTTGGATTTCCCAGATTCCAGAACTGTGAGAAACAAATTTCTACTATTTATAAGTAGCCCAACCTAGTTGTTGTAACAGCCTGGCCTGCATCATCATGGGTATTTTAGCGAGGAAGATATTTAGTTTTGAACTAAATATGCATATATTTGTATGCATAATGGCAATCTGAACAGAGTCAAGGAGATAGAAGAAGGTGAGTGGGGCAGGCTGAGAAGGTTTCACAGAGAAAGACGTCTGACCCCAGCTGCCTCAGCAAGGGAAGGACAGTCCAACCCAGGCAGAGCATCCCTGGAAGAGAGGCAGAGAGGCCTGAGGCTCCCCAGGGTTAACATGTGGTCACGGCATTCTGTGGCACCACAAGGGGGTCCATGGTGGGGAGAGGCCAGCAGTGAAGATGGAAAGAAATAGCAGAGCTGAGTCATGAATGTCAGGTATGTCTCACCCTAAGCTTAACGGAAAGCCAGCAAAGGTTGTAGAAAGTGGGATGGTAGGGGGACATGACTAGGTGGATGCTAGAAGGACCTCTCCGGGGGACATCTTGGAGACATGGGCACCAGAGAGAAGCAGATGCATCTGGAAGCCAAAGGAGTGGGCCTGAAACTCCAGGTTAGATGCCCAGCCTGCCACCTGAAAGAGTGGAATCTGCCAGTGCCTTGATCTTTGGACTTCTCAGCCTCCAGAACTGTGAGAAATAAATTTCTATTATTTATAAATTGCCCAGCCTAATTGTTGTAACAGCCTGAACTAAGAGAATATATGTATATTAGCTAAGAATGCATTTAATTTTGAACTAAATATGCATATATTTGTATGCATAATGGCAACCTGAAGAGAGCCAGGAATTGGCCATCCCCTGTCCAGGCCAAGATCACCTGGACAGGGGTTCACAACACTTTAACCTGTGAGAGCATCTTTAGGGTGGTAGACACATTAGGCTGAAGGCAGCTTCGCTTGCTCAGCCTTGGACATCCAGGCCTGGTCTCTGAGGGGCTGAGGAGCCAGTTGCCCACAGGTTCCATCTGATCGGAAGGTGGTGCTGGGGGGCAAGGCTCTTGCAGGGTGTATGATATTGGCCTTTCTGTTGTCCACCTCCACCAGACCACGAATGGATGGGAGGAGAATCTCTGGTGACATGTGTCTCACCAGGGGAATAAAGAACATGCTTGTATTTCCTTAAAGCCAAGGAACAACAACTGCACCTCCCTTCTGTGGAGTGCTTCCTGTGTACCAGGCACAGAAGCCCAATGTATTATCTCATTTCATCCTCACATCAGCCAATATGCAATAGGTTTATAGTCGTTACCTTTGTTTCTGAAGACGAAAAACAGGTTTGGTGCAGTAGTGTCACCTGCTAAGGGTCACTCAGCTGGGCAATGGTAATGCCAGGCTTTGACCCAGTCCTGTCTATCTCCAGAGCCTGTGACTTTGACTTTCACACTCGATGGCTTCTTTTCAAGGTGATTTCAACTAATCGTTTACCTAGAAACGTTTCTAATTCTTTTATAACTAAAAGCGTTCTTAGGGAAATGCCATATCAATTAACTGTTCTTATGCTAAAGTTTTCAAACCATTTCTTATCCCTATGACTACAAATGTCATTGCGGACTTGACTCTTGGGGGCACCCCCATGTGGGCGGTCTTTGCGCATTCACACAGCATGGGCATCGACAGGCTCTGCAGGCAGCCCCAGCAATGAGACAGAAAAGGAGAGGGAAGCCGACGGGGCCAGAGGTGATATGGAAAAGAGATGACAACGACTAGACGGTTATTGACTGAGGAAATGTTATTTCAAATATAATTATTTTCTGAATATCTTCTTCCTGTCTCCAGTGTGCAATAAGATGGACATCACCAGGTATCTTTGGAAATCATCTATGAGTTGGAAACATTTGGGTATTGGAGAAAATTAAATAAATTCACTGGGGGAAAAAATGTCTTACTTTCATATATTTCCCAACCAGGACAAGTACACTCAAAATAAATTTTCTTTCAGTGGCTGCCACAAGAAGCCATAAAAAATTTTGGCACCATGATAACAGAAATAAATTGGCTTTTAAGGATAAAAAATATGAGTTAGAAGGAAAATCCTATTTGCTTAACAGATATGTCAATCTAAAATAAGAGAGAGTGGCCCTCCAAAGAAATGAGTTTATTCAGGATTAGACAGAAGGGTTATAACCCAGATGTGCATGCTATGACTACTCATAGGCATATCTGGGGAGGCCAAGGCAAAGGGAAACCTTAAAAGGCAAAAAGGAGAAGTGTGTGCAGGTTTTGAAACAAAAGTTTATTGGTTACAGGGCTTATCACAGGTGGCGAAGTGTGCACTGGCCAGTACTAGGAGAGGGTCTTCACAGGAGCAGCCCCAACTGCAAGCTTGTGGTTTCGTAAGTCTACTTGCAAGGCTGCCATTAGGACTGGCTGTTAGTGGAAAGCTGTCCTCATACAAGCGGGCTTAACTGCAGGGTTGTGGCATGGGACAGTCTCTTGCGATAGTTCTTCTTATATGGCGAATATGCATGAGGGCTTCCCTTCACTGCCTCTCGACTTCATTTTATTAGGATTTGACATAAGTGACTCTATATTGATTCTGACAACTTTCACAGATCCACACCCAGCCCACCCCCAACTGACATCACCTAGGGGTCTTTGTGGCCTGTTACCCCCGAGGACTTTCCTTGGCCACCCTGTAAAAGTGTGGTCAAGCCCAGGAGCAGTATCCAACAGGCAGATGGGCAGGGTGAGAGATGGAGTCGAAGGCAGGTGCAGTCACTTGCTCCCCAATTTGAGCAGGGAGTGTGGGAATGGAGGGAGAAGTGCACGCCAGATTCATCGTAAATTACTTCTGGACCTGCCTCTAGTTAGAGAACACACAGCTTTCCAAATGGTATAGGTGATTAAGACGTACAATAAGTGCTGTAAATTTGTATAAACACCAGTTATTTTGAATTTCAAATATTCTAGCAGAACAAAAATGGATTTGTTTTCCTCTTTATTCATTCAAATGTATTCTAGTCCTTTTGTTTGATGATGAATTTCTTACTTCTTCTGCGCTGGCTCACTCTGCTCCTGGAGTGTTTCTTAGTTCTCCTTCTGAAAGGACCCAGTGAGAGCCTGAAATTGGAGATGGTGTGGAGGAGAAGGGACCAGAGAGATCAAAGAGGTCTAGAAGGGCTATGGATTCACCAGGCTCCATGGCCCAGAAATGTCAGAAGTCCATCATTTCTCACCCTGTTCCCTCTCTGTCCTCCCTCTCCCTTCTCTCAAATCCATAGCTCCCTCTAATTGCCTTCCCATGTCTACATTAACAAGAGTTCCTTCAGTCTCAACCATAAGTCAATGTCTTCTCTGCCAAGTACCGTTGCACCAGCACACTAGGTCTTCAGCCATCCACAGGGCCTCTGTTACAAGAGGTCCCACCGTCTGTCCTGCACCACACTTGTCCTTGAGCCACCTTTGGTACAGCATCTCTAGTATTTGAAAGTTCGAGACGGTGAGATGAAGAATAATTAACCAAGACTAAATGTTTGGAGTTTCCCCAGTTGAAGCCGCTCAGGTGGAACCTATCACCGTGGTCACAAGGAGACGGCCCCCGCTGTGCAGGGAAGAGCTGTCATTCACACCAGGTGAGGTCAGGAATAGACTGGGACTGCTATAAATAATTGGTGCATTTGACATCATTTTAACTGCTCCAGGAACGACCGATGTTTCAGTTGAGAACCTGTGATGTGTTGGTGAAAAGTCCATTAGAAAGTAATTATTGACCAGGCACAGTGGCTTACACCTGTAATCCCAACACTTTGGAGGCCAAGACGGGTGGATCACAAGGTCAAGAGATGGAGACCATCTTGGCCAACATGGTGAAACCCAGTCTTTACTAAAAATACAAAAATTAGCTGGGTGTGGTGCCTGTAGTCCCAGCTACTTGGGAGGCTGAGGCAGGAGAATCGATTGAACCTGTGAGGTGGAGGTTGCAGTAAGCGGAGATCGTGCCACTGCACTCCAGCCTGGTGACAGAGCAAGACTCTGTCTCAAAAAAAAAGATTATTTATTTTTAATAAGGAATATTAATATTATATTAATAACACTAATTGTCCCCAAAGCACAAATGAGAAAAAGAAGTGAGAAGGTTTGGGAACTTTCTGGAGAGAAGTCACTTAGGTATGTGATATTGTGATATACTAAGAAACGTATATTTGGTCTTTGTCCTCAGTTTCTGGTATGAAGCTCCTAAAACCCTTGGGAATTTCCTAAGTGAAGGTTGTTAGAGAAGTATCTTTTGTTATCAGAATCAGCCCTTTCTGCTGGGCAAGGTGTCTCACGCCTGTAATCCCAGCACTTTGGGAGGCCAAGGCAGGCGGATCACTTGAGGTCAGGAATTCGAGACCAGCCTGGCCAGCATGGCGAAACTCCATCTCTGCTAAAAATACAAAAACTAGCCAGGCATCGTGGTGGGAATCTGTAATCCCAGCTACTCAGGAGGCTGATACAGGAGGATCACTTGAACCCAGGAGGCAGAGGTTTCAGTGAGCCGAGATGGCGCCATTGCACTCCAGCCTGGGTGACAGAGCAAGACTCCATCTCAAAAAAAAAAAAAAAAAAAGAAGAAGAAGATTCAGCCCTTTCAACCTTACCTGGGTTTATGCTAATGAGGTAACACTGTTGCCCCCTAAATATCTTTAAGACCAGAGGAACCACCCATGCAATTAGAAGATAGGAGCCTGGGCCCCACTCCCCACCCTCCAGGGAGTGAAGAGAGGCTGAGGATTGAGCTAATCACCCGTGGCCAGTGATGTAATCACTGATGAGTACATAATGGAACCTCCATGGAAACCCTAAACCCTGGGATTCTGAGAGCTTCTGGGTAGTCGAATTGATCTGTTGCACCTGGAGAGAGAATGGAAGCTCCATGCCCCTCCCCCCCCTCGCCCTGGGCAGCTCTTCCATTGACCATTTATGAGCTGTATCCTTTATAATGAACCAGTAATGGTAAGGAAAGCACTTTCCAGAGTTCTATGAGCCCTTCTAGCAAATTATCAAACTAAGGAGGGGGTCTTGGGAATCCCTGATTCAGAGCTGACGAGACCGAAGTGCAAGAGGCTGAGATTTGTGACTGATTGGCGTCTGAAGTGAAGAGGGTCCGTTAACTTGTGCAGGCTGCGTGTTAGAATTGAAGTGAATTGAACTGAACTGAAGGGCACCGGCCGGGGTTGGAGAAGTGGTTGGTATGGGAAAACACCCCTCAACATTTGGTGCCAAAAGTGTTGTAGGAAATGGTTCAGAGGCCCGAAGAGCAGCAGCTGGAATGTGAGCTCAGCCTCTCCCCACACGGCGTGCAGCCTGTGGAGCCCACCCACCGCCCGGAGGGCAGGCACCCCCACATTCACTGCCTCACCCAGCCCCTGTGCCTACATGAATCAATAATACTGAGAAAATTGCAATCGGTATTTTTTTTAAAGCACCTCACTTGGTCCAAGTGCTTGAGTTACTCCCAAGGAAACTAAAAGGTGAAAGGAATTCAGATCTTTACTTCAGTGTCTCAAAAAATGCCACAAAGAAAATAGACAAGCACGGAGCAGCAAGCTTTAATAACCTCTTTCCCCTTCTCTTTCTTAATATCTCCCTAAAACCAACCACTGCTTCTCACAACGCCATTCTCCTCTCCACGTAAACCCCTTAAAAAGAAACCTCATCAGGCCGGGGGCAGCGGCTCACAACTGTAATCCCAGCATTTAGGGAGGTTGAGCTGGGCAGATCACCTGAGCTTGGGAGTTTGAGACCATCCTGGCCAACATGGTGAAACCCCGTCTCAACTAAAAATACAAAAATTAGCCAGGCGTGGTGGTGGGCACCTGTAGTCCCAGCTACTCGGGAAGCTGAGGCAGGAGAATCACTTGAACCTGGCAGGCAGAGGTTGCAGTGAGCTGAGATGGCGCCATTGCACTCCAGCCTGGGTGACAGAGGGAGACTACACCTCAAAAAAAAAAAAGGAAAGAAAAAAGAAATTCCCCAGAGAAACTCTTGGCCTTCTCTTCTCCTCCGTGCAAGTCTAGCAGAACTCGTAAATCCTCTCCTGCAGAGCCAAGCAGCCATTCTCTTTCAGGGTACATCTTGACTACTTTGTATATGTGCCAGTTTATGAAAATACACATACGCACCAGGCACGCATGCACACAGGAACACACACACACACACACACACACACACACACACACACACACACACACAGAGTAGCCAAGTTGGAAGGAGAGAACTAGCAGAGTTGGCAAGAATTTCCCAGGCAGAATGATGGGGGACAGATTGTGGACGGTATGCCATCATGGTGCTTGATTACGGTATTTTGTCCCTGGCACACAATCTAACAAGAAACAAGGAGAGGGCCCCATGCCTGGCTGGTGATGCTGGACTGTCAGGTGTGTGCCAGTCGGTCTTGAGAAGTCAGCCTCTGACCTGGAGAGGGAGGAGGGAGGAGGCCCCAGGTGTCTAGGTTGACCCACCCCCTCTTGATTTTCTGCCCTGAGGATGAACTCCCTGGGGTCTCAGCCCAAAGAAGCCGCCACACCGTGTCAAAGACACCCACTGTCTGAATCATTTGTTTGTGTTGCTCTGGTTATATTTTCCAGAAGGTTTTTGTTCTTGTTATTTTGTTCACGTAAAAGATTTCTGTTTAATATCCTAATTTTTTTTTTCTTTTTGAAATGGAGTCTCGCTCTGTCGCCCAGGCTGGAGTGCAGTGGCGCGATCTTGGCTCACTGCAAGCTCCGTCTCCCAGGCTCACACCATTCTCCTGCCTCAGCCTCCCGAGTACCTAATTTTTTAAAGTTTCATACTTGCCTGTTACGGCGTAGTGATATTTATGGAATATAGCTCTTAATGTTTTCTTTTAAATTATCTCTTTACTGTCCTGGTTTTACCTTTCTCTTGTTTATCATTGTTATTGATTGAATTGTGCCCTCCCAGCCAAATTTATGTATTAAAGTCCTTACCCTCAGTATCTCAGAATGTGGCTTGGTTTGAAAACAGGGCCATTGCCAACACAGTTCGTTAAGATGAAGTCCTCCTGGAGGAGGGTGGGCACCTGATTCGACATGACTGGTGTCCTTGTAAAAGGGAACATTTTGACACGGAGACACACAGGTAGAATGCCATGTGAACATGAAGGCTGAGGTTGGGGTGATGCTTCTACAAGTCAGAGAACCCCGAACATTGCAGGCAATCCACCAGAAGCTGGGAGGGAGCCCTCAGAACCCTGGGAAGAAATGAGCCCCCCGAAACGTTGATCTTGGACTTCCAGCTTCCAGAACCGCGAGAGAATAAGTTTCTGTGTTCGAGCCCCCAGCTTGTGGTACCTTATCAAGGCTGCCCTAGAAAATTGGCACAATCATTTAAAAATCATTTATGTTGTTCTTTCACTTTTTGCTTTCTTTCACCCCTTATATTTCAGTCTTGTCATTCCTACTGCATTTCTATTTTTAAAAGTCTGTTTTCATCTCTGCGAATATTTGAATCTTTTCTTTCATTATTTTCAAACTATTTCTCTTGCTCCCTTGACACGCCTGTAATCCCAGCACTTTGGGAGGCTAAGGCAGGGGGATCACGAGGTCAGGAGTTCAAGACCAGCCTGGCCAACATGGTGAAACCCTGTCTCTACTAAAAATACAAAAATCAGCTGGGCATGGTGGTGCCTGTCTGTAATCTCAGCTACCCAGGAGGCTGAGGCAGGAGAATCACTTGAACTCAGGAGGCAGAGGTTGCAATGAGCCAAGATTGTGCCACTGCACTCCAGCTTGGGTGACAAAGCAAGACTCCGTCTCAAAAAATAAAACTAAAAAAAAAGAAGTGAGGCCCTCGCAGTGTGTACCCCACAAGCACCCAGAGTGTTCGGTCCCTTTTTCCTTTCTCTCCACCTCCAATGTCCTCCAGTGAATCTCCTGTCTCCCTCAAAGCTGATCTCTAAAACTTTTCAACATGTTCATCTTGAGACACCCAAGCCAAACAGTTTCTCCTAAGACCATTATGATTCTTCGGGTTTGGGTTAAATGTTTGACTATTGGAATGTGTTATTTTGTACATCATACACCACTGGGTCACTGAGCTGCCTCATGAGCATGGGCTCAGACAGCCTGGGTCAGGTTTAATGTTCTGCTCTCACCGCCTCAAACTCCTTAACAGCTTCTGCACTAGGCCCTGCAAATTATGTAGCTGGTCTGCTCAGAATTTTTGAAAAATCTCTGCTCTCATGTCTTTAACCAACAGATGCTGAGAAGTTGCACAAACTTTGCGCTCTACATGAGCAGGTCCACCAGGAAAGGACCACTGTGCAAGGCTCAGGCAGGATGTCCCTGAACTCCCACTGGTCTTCATGGACAGAAGCTCAGGAGAGGCTCTGCAGCCAGGCCTTTGAAAGCCTTTCTAGCAAGCGTACCTCAAAAGTAGTATGTTTCCAGTAGGTCTGGAATGCATCAATTTGCAAAAATGTACTTTTATAATCTCCAGTACCTGAAAGAGAGGGTTGGGAAAAGAAATTAGTTCTGTGATAGGTTGATGATTCTGTGATAGCTCTCACTGGGGACTGAGAAAGATCCAATAGGGGCTGAACATAGTGGCTCACACCTGTAATCTCAGCACTTTGGGAGGCTGAGGCAGGATGATCACTTGAGGTCAAGAGTTCAAGGCCAGCTGGGCAACATAGTGAGGTCCCCATCTCTACGAAAAATCAAAAATTAGCCAGGTATGGCAGAGTCTGCTTATTGTACTAGCTACTAGGGAGGCTGAGGTGGGAGGATCACTTGAGACCACGAGGTTGAGGCTAGAGCGGGCTATGATTACACTGCTGCACTCCAGCCTGGGTGACAGAGTGAGACCCTCTCAAAAGAAAGAAAAAAAAGAAAAAAGAAAGGAAGGAAGAGGAAGAGAGAGAGGAAAGGAAGGGAGGGAGGAAGGAAGGAAGGAAGGAAGGAAGGAAGGAAGGAAGGAAGGAAGGAAGGAAGGAAGGAAGGAAGGAAGGGGAAAGGAAGGAAAGAAAGAAAAAAAGAAAGAGAGAGAAAGAGAGAGAGAGAAAGAAAAAGGAAGGAAGAGAGAGAAAGAAAGAAGAAGAAAAGAAGAGAAAGAAGGGAGAGAAGGGGGAGGAGGAAGGAAGGAAGGAAGGAAGGAAGGAAGGAAGGAAGGAAGGAAGGAAGGAAGGAAGGAGAAGGGAAAGGGAAGGAAGGGAGGGAGGGAGGAAAGGAAAAAGAGAAAGGAAGAAGGGAGGAACAGAGGGAGGGAGCGAGAGAGAAAGAAAGAAAGAGAAATGAAGGAAGGAAAGGAAAGGAAGAAGAAAGAAAGGTCTACAGGCCTTGGTTAAGCCCTGGACTTGGGATCGCAGCAGCCCCGAGCTCCCTGTGTACCCCAATTCTGCAGTGTTTTCCCCCAGCTCCACCCACAGACCCCATCTTGGCCTCAATCACCAGTCTACAGTTCACTCTGGCTTCCTTCCCACCCGATCTCCCTCCCAGGACTGAGGCCCACCTCGACCCTCCAGGTACAAGCCTGCTTCCCTCCCTAGCAGCAGCCAACCTCGGAAACACGGCATCATCCACACTCCCATTAGTGGCTTCCTCAAAGAATCTCTCCTTGCTCAGCTGGGCCTGGCACACTTCCCAGCACCCTTCTTGCCTGGATTTCTCCCCACTGAACCCCAGGCCTTCGAAGCCCAGCCGCATTGCTGGGGCCAGCCTCACTGCCTGATTAGAGTCCCTCAGCCTTGTGGG